TTCTGTCTGGGCCCATGTTGTAGGACCATCTGCCACTTGTTGTCTATTTGATCCTCTGCTATCTCCAAGTCTAGGATTGCATCTTCAAAGTCTTCTTGTACATGGAACAGTTCTTGTAACCCATGTTCCCCCGAGAAGGTTGTGCAAGTCTTGGATAGCTTTCTCGCTGGATTTCTGAGATTTATTGTCATGGAGACTGTCTTCAATTGGGCTGGATCGAAGTTGTTTGTAAGTCTTAAACAGGATCGGTGTGTTTGTTTGGAGGAGTTGTTGGTTGATTTCACCATGGTSGATGTGGTATTTTTGGTTATTTTTCTTAAGGGTTGATTAATTTCGATACACGAAAATCACTTACTAGTAATTACTGTGCACGAGATTACGTGTACTCTTAAAGTATGTATGAAAATTGAATTATAAGATTAGAATTATTCGAAGATTAMCAAGCGCATTMACGAGAATTCCGAAGTTCCGATTAGAACCTCATGTAGACCTGGTAGGGATTCTACCCGGAGGTTCTCTATTCCGGACTCGTGACATCTCTATTCTTTGTGAGGTATTCTCGAATAGTATCTTAGACCTCTCACGATCCTCAACCAACGGATTGTATGATGGATCCTATGATACATACATAGGAAGCGTACCTTACGATAGGTATGTAGGAATGATATGATCCTTTATTCCTTCCTTCGGAGCTTTGTATCGTACGTACGTATACTTCCAATACAGTACGTACGCATCCCTTGCAAGATATACTTGGAATAGTCTTGGTTACATTGCTTGGTTGCTTGTTGAATGATGGAGCCAGGGAGGAGGATTCTCCCCTTCGGAAGGGGATGTCACCATGGTGGGGTCTTCGGAATTCGGAAGCCGGAAGGAGCTTGTCAGGTAGGAATGTACGTATGAATCAGTAGGAAATCTAGGGGATAATTTTCATAAGCGAAGTTTAATTTCGTGCGTTTGAAAATATTCGATTTGAAAATTATATGGATCCATGGGATCAAGTGAGTCATATATGTATGGTGTGTATGAATCTTTAGATACAAATCATATGTATGTATTGTATATATGAATCATACCTCCAATCTGATATACTATGGACAGCAGGATGAAGTTCAAATTTATTTGGTATTTTTATTAAGTTTCCACATTTCTGTGAAGACTGTGCATGAAATACGTGTACTCTTAGTATGTTTAAGTGTGTATGAAAATTAAAATTATAAGATTAAGATTATTGAGCGCGTTCACGAGAATTCCAAAGTTCCAATCAGATCCTCATGTAGACCTGGTAGGGAATCTACATGGAGGTTCTTCTATTCCGGACTTGTGATATCTATGTTCTTTGTAAGATATTCTAACTCTCGATATCTTGGACCTCTCATGATCCTTGGACCTCTTACAATGGATCCTATGATACACATATAAGAACCGTACCTTATGATAGATATGTAGGAATGGTACGCTCCTTCATTCCTTTCTTCGAAGCTCCGTACTACGTACGTATACTTCTGATACAGTACGTACGTATCTGTTGCAGAATGGATGAGCTCCAAAACTATGATCCTTTGGAAACCATTCCAGCAAGCTAAATTTATCAACCTAATACTAGGTCTAGAACTACTGACTAATTTTGAGTTTTTAAATAATGGGAATTGCCCAATGACTTGACACATGAAAATGACGTACGGTAGGAGTCTTAGGTTCGAAGGTATGTTCATAGGGTACTTCTTCTCCTGATCTGTGTAGGGGTACGAGTACGTCAGTGCGCCACGACAAGAACCCCGTCGTCACTGTCGCCAGCCCAAAATGATGCGCTGAAAAGTAGAATTCAGCAACAGGCACCAGTTTGAACCAGTACGTACTCGTACGTACTACCGGCTCTGTACCGTACGTAGACACGTCGCAGCAGCAACTGCCACCAGTTCGATAGATGCCGCCGCTCTGTACCGGTTCGGTATCCCGCTACTGTTGCGATCGTATTGTAATGTCGACGAAAATAATAAATAATATCTTGCATCTCCACATCTCCACATGCTCTGTGCCATCGTCACAAATTACAAATCTTGTTGGACACATCCCTAAAACCATCATGAAATTCTCAACTGTCGCAATCCTTGGACTCATTGTCAGCACCGCTTCGGCCTTCACATCGGTTTCGAGACCAAATCGTGCTCCCTTCTCGACTTCTCTCGGCTTGGTCGAAACGGGGGAATACGTTGACAGAGATGTCTACACCTTTGACGAATGGGCGACAAGCTGTGGGGTTCAAAAATGTGCCGGATTCCAAATCACTACTCAGGATGGATCCGACTTCTTCGCTGTCACCGACCAGGATTTGCCCGCTGGAACTCCTATCGTTTATGTCCCCCCGGAATTGGTCCTCTCCTCAAACAGAGCACAAGAGGAATTCGGGCAGAGCCTCCAGTACGCCGAAGACCGAATCAAAGAGGGTGGTGTAGCCAATCAAATTCCTATCTTCCGACTCGGTGTCAAAATTTTGGCTGAATGGGAAAAGGGCGAGCAGAGTCCATGGTATTACTGGCTCAACTCCATGCCTCGAATCTTCATGAATGGAGTTTCCATGACTTCAGCTTGTTTCGACGCCCTCCCTCCATACGCTGGATGGCTTGCGGTAAGTTCATCAAATGGAATTCTCCTAGTTTCTGATTTCCTTCGACTGTAATCAGAAAAGATTCGAAACTTTTTAATTTATCTATCTTCCACGTCTGATATCAGGTTTCGCCGCCCCTCTCAAATCGGATTTTCATTATTTTTGTTGTGAATAGATGAAAGAACGAGCGAACTTTGTCAACTTCAAGAAGGCGCTTCTTTCTGCTCCTCTCAACGAACAAACCGTGACGAACGAGGAGCTCGTAAAGTGGGCCTACAACGTTGCCCTAACGCGATCATACTCCCTCTCGTCGTCGTGCCGACGCATCGCACCCATGGTCGACTACTTCAACCACGCATCGGAACCCAACCTCGATATCCAATACGATGACTATGCATGCACTGTTTACGCATCGCGTGACATTGCCGCCGGCGAAGCCCTAACGATATCTTTGGGAACCGGAACCAACCCATCTCCTTTGTTCGCAACCTATGGATTCCTCGACGAATCTTCCCCTGGAACATTTTGCAAGCTCATGGACTTGCAGGACGATATGCCGGACATGAAATTGGGATTCAAAGATCTTCTGTTCTACAAGAACGGTGAAATTGCCCCCGAGGTTTATGATCTCGTCCTCTACAGTATCCTAAAAACCGACCCCAACTTCGAATTGGGCCCCTTCTTTGACGCCTGCATGGCCGGTGACGAAGATACCAAAAACGCATACCACAGCCAATACTTTTCTTACACATTGGAATACCTAAAAAACCACGTCGACAACACCCTAGTAGAACTCGACCGACTCTCCAATATGGCCGCATCTTACGACCCTAATGCCCACCCCCGCGCCCCTCTTATCTTGCAGCACAATGCTTTTGTCAAGCAAACCTTCGAGGCCGTCAAGTACAACTTAGATTCCATGTGAGACGTTTGTTGGATATGTAGAATGGAACGAGAACCACGAATGAAAGCGATCGAGGAAGTCAGCTTCGAAACATGTGTATGAATGAAAATAATGTTTCATTACCTTGCTGTCCTCCGAGTTTTTAGTTCAATTAATAATTAGCAATCCACTTTCATTATTTTTTCTGAGTCGAAATAAGTTATGATCTTGCCTCCATCTCAATGTACAATGATCTGTGTGACTTCCACAGCATGAAATACAATTGTTAATCCCAGTATTGCATGCGAGCATGTCAGGATTGGATCAAACAGTATGAGTTCTAGAGGAAAGCATCTCTTAAAATCAAACTGTTTCAGTTGCATTGTGAAATACGGTATCAATGACCTTGTGTTACGAAGAAATGTCGAAGTACGTACGGTTGTCCCAACCGTACGTTGCCTGAGTTTTTGCAGCCTTGTCTTTCTGTACCTCAGGACACATGAAGAATTATAGCAAGTATTATGTCAGTATTATCATTGGGTATTTTTTTGGACTTGTGTTCAAATGTATGTTGAGACGTTTGGCCAGTCATCATATTGCAAACAAGGCATGGTTTATTGAATGACCATGGGTTGGCTTTGATTTGATTGATTGACATTGAGTAGGCTAGATTGAGAAAGTCGGGGTCTACTTCAGCAATTTGGATTTTGTTTACCAAAATGGGATCTGGTGCAGTTTTGGGGCACTTGTAGGTCGGAACATTTGTGTTGAATCTGTGAGGGGGGGGGGGTTGATATACCGATTTCACATTGGTTGGGCTATTTGGAAGGTTTAGGTATTGTTGAAGGGTAGCAACAAAGTTGGATGGTTTGAACTTGTGTTTGAGGTGAGCAAAATCTTGTTCATGATGCATTTCTGTTTGAAGGAATGAGGAGTGAGTACATCCGTTTACAAAGTGTTCACGTTGTATTTGTCATAAACTGTTTCTTTCAAGGCACAAAGCATGATGTAATGGTTGTATTTCTTCCAATATTCCATAAGGGAGAGTGATCCTTGGCTAGGAGGCGTTGTGATCAGCATGGACGGAGATTCAATTAAGAGAGGGTGCATTTTGCAGATGATTGCTTTCAAGGCTTCATATCCATGTCCATTGTGAAGCTTGACAATATGGCAGAATTTATCTTTGAGAGCGCAAGCACTGTGAAGTACATCCCAGATGATTTGTGAGTCAGTAGATATTTTCATTTCAAAAGTCGAATGAAGGTAATCTTCTTGTTTTAATCCAAGGGTGAAGCCATGTGGGTGGTTGCATGTATTGAATTGTACGTACTGTAAGGAAGCATACGTACAAACGATGCTCCCCAGAATAGAGGGACATACCATTCTTACCTATATATCATAAGGTACTATTCATATATATATATATATATATATATATATCATACGATCCAACGTACCAAGGATCCTAAGAGGTCCAAGATACCATTCGAGAATACCTCACGAAGAACAAAGATGTCAGAAGTCCGGAACRGAAGAACCCTCGTGTAGATYCAGTACCAGATCTACACAGGGATCCAATCAGAACTTTGGAACTCTCATGAACGCACTTGGTAATCTTCGAATAATCCTAATCTTATAATTTCAATTTTATACACACCAAAACATACTGAGAGTACATGTAACTCGTGTACACAACAAAAGCAAGGATATGGGTCACAATAATTGCTATAACAAGAACAATGGGTTGTGAAGCATGTGTACCAATTGTAGTGTTAGTATGCTGTGTCACCTGCAATCTTGTTGATGTTGTTTTGGAAGTTCTTTTCACTTTGTGGTCCAAGATCAACGAGGATGAAGTAAGACGTCTTGAGTAACAAAACCGGGTGGCAAGTTTTGGGGGTCTCGGTGATATTGTTGGGTTGTATGTGGTTGTGCTGAAGTATCGATAAGGTCAGTGAGAGTATCAGGAGTGTGATACTTGTACAGAACTGCATTTAGCTTGTACCAAGTCATGAGTGATGACTTGAGCTGAGAAGTTCAATTGGACAAAGGGTTTGATGCTTGAAGTATGAGTCTTCTGCTTTGGGGCAAGTTGTTCGATCATCATGTTTTGTTGGCGCAGGATGTTGTTGCTTTGGGTGAAAAGGCAGACAATGTTGGGATCAACTGGTGGGGTTGGAGGTGGGATGTTAGTACCACCTCCTTGGACCAAGGGAGGCAGAAAAGGAATGTCACTAAAGTACACAAAGTCATAAACGTCTTTTGCTGGCTGGCTGTTGTCTACTTAGACAGGAGACCAGTTGATATAAATGAACAGAGTGTTTTTGGTTTTGGACTTAGAAACAAAGTTTAAAGCACAGGTGATGGTATTGGCATCGTTTTTGAGTCATGTATGTTTGTCCTTAGCAATGTCTGCCATAAGGTTGGTTTTGGTGTCCATGATATGTTTGATATGATCTTTGTCACCAGTGTTAATTGCACAATGTTTGATGTGATTGATGATATCAAGTTGGATGGTTGGGAGAAAGAGGGCTACATTGTTAAATGTGTCTTGAGCTCTGTTGAGGTAGATTTTGAAGTTGTATGAGAAACCATAGGCAGTGTTCATTGCTTGGGTTAGTTTGGGGTAGTTAGCCTGGTCAAGGAAGATGAGGTCAAGGTATTCAATGTGTGGATAAAACTGGTGTGATGGGGCAGATTTACCAACTCTGGTTTTGGGAGTCATGTTGAAGTGTTGTGTTGAAGTTTGAAAGTTAGGAAGACGCTGAGAATAAAAGATATTTTGGTTTGGATCAAAATATATTTTATGGGATGTTGTCATGAAGTGATATTTTGATGTAAATTGATATTTTTGTAAAACTATCAGTTTTCATTAGAAGCTTGAATATTGTTTTGGAAGGAAGTTTTATGGCAACGTGGGTTGGTCTCGTAAATTGAGACGGTCATGTTGTGGGAATAAAGAGGAAAAGTGTTAGTGCCCTTGTTTGCGCGCGTATGGAATTTATTTTTAACCTCCAGGTGGGAGTTAAAAATCAAAGTGGGATTATCAGTGCCAAGTGAGTTCCAGAAAGCAAGAATGTGTTTGGTAAGAAAAATTCTTGAAATTTTGATACAATGAAACAATGAATATTGGGCAACAACAATGGTGATAGTGTCGAAACAGTCGTTTTGTAACAGATTGTGTTGTTGCAATTGTGTAGTGATAGCTTTGATGACAGTGACAATGCATTAAGCATTGTGCAATATTGAGTTTGTTGTTCAAAGGTGTGTGAACAAATTGTTTGGTAGAGTTGTGTGATGAGGAGAGAGCACGCCTAAAAAAATCACCATGGTGGTGATAATTTTTATTGGAAGGGTGTCATAACCTCTGGAGGTGACTATCTAATAGTAATGTAAATTGTGTGCTAGAAGAAAAGTGAGTCGATGCTCAGCTCTTATTGAGGATCGACAAACTATGAAATCTAAGACCGATCAGAATGAAGATTGAGTGATGTGTGAATCGAATGAGTCGAGTCACACACGCTAGTGAATCAACCGAGTCATGTCAATCATATGGATCCATGGGATCGAGTGAGTTATATATGTATGGTGTGTATGAATCATAGATACAAATAATATGTATGTGTTGTATATATGAATCATACCTACAATCTGATATCCTACAGACAGCAGTACTAGCAGTACAAAGTACCGTACAGTTACTTGACCGTGACCATTTGCACATTTTCAGTTGGAAAAACTGATCTTGATTGCTATCTCAGTACAAACTCATGTAGAAAATACTATTGTAGAAATATTGAAAAGGCACTATTTGCAGAGGGGGAACAAGTAAAATTCAAAAAAGTTATACCATGAGGACAAGAAGTAACAAATCAACAACGCCTCTGGCAAAGGTGCCTCCACCAGCTCCTTCTAGTAATACCACAAAGAAGAAGGATGACAACAGCATTGACTGCGGGCATCGCCAGAATAGAGGGAGAGCATGAGTAAAGAATGTCTTGGTACAGCACGCAGGAGAAGAACAAATTATTCTCCTCTCAGAAAGCAAGAGATCCATACTGGAAGGGAGTTGGTGCTGAGATAAGTTGGGCCATGATGGAAGAAAACACTCTACCATTAGAAGCACCAACAAAAGAATCACTGAAGAAGACACCAGCAGCAGCGCCAAGCAAAAAAAATCCTGTATGCACCACCAGAAGACGCAACAACAGCAGCTGTTGCAACAAAACCAAGAAGAATAGTTCTCTTGACCAAACAGACACAGCAATACCAGCTCAAAACCAAAGACTACCAATCTGCAACCCATACACAAACACCAACGAGGAACGCACTGTATCCATGACAAACAGGAAGAACAAGAACTAGAAGGCTCTTGAGCTTGTTGGTGTTGACGATAGTACTTTCAGTAACCTCACTTTGATCTCGACGATCTCACTGATGTTACTGGTGTACTGTACCCAAATGTACCAGAAAATGTACTCGTTAATTTCACGGGAAGAGTTTTTCATTGTACTGAGGGTTCTCGAAGTTTAAACAGAAAATTTTCTGTTACGTTTTGGGTACTACTACGAGTTTCATAACAATTGAAACTGGGGTTGCGCAGCGCGCAAGTGCGCTCAAGTTAATACTTAAAGCATTAAAACAAAGTTAAGAACTTTGAATCAAAGTTGTCAACTTCCAGCGAAAGTTGCCAACTATGCTAGGTAGGCCTACGTAAGCTTAGTACTAGCCCCGTTAGGGGCATGCCGGCTGGACAACAGCTGCTGATCCAGCTGATCAGCAAGCTGCTCAGCGAGGAGCAAAATTGATCTATTTGGATGGATCCTAGTACAAAGCTGTGTAGAAAATCCTGTAGAAAATCGTGGATCAAGKGGGAAGCCTTGCCATTTTGGTCAAAATGGAAGGGTTTTGATTCCGCGTTCAAAATCATACTGAGGCCTACTGTCTTGACCTAAACTTCCCTCCAGCGTGCTGATCCAGCGTGCTAAACTGTTCTTTTCATTCTATCAAAAAACTCCCCGGTTCAAGCAACTGACCATGGGAATCGGTCTATTTCAAGCACTTACACTCAATCTTATACACTGTACTTGGTATCAATCGATAGCTCTCTTCGATTGTCGTTTTAACAAGCCCTTAACTGTAGCAAACAAGCAAGTGTAACAGATTTTATAGTGTATTCAGTGTAGCTTCTTTTTTCACCACGACAACTTGCTTCTTTCAACGTCGACAGTATCATGAGCAATGATCCAGCAGATAAGATAGCAAAGATTAGAGCTGGCAATGGCCTCTCTAGACTAACACAACAAACGAGAGCTGAGAGGCCTCACCCTGGAAAGGGAGGGAGTAGAGGCTATCCTGTATTTGTAAGAGAGCTGGAACTGCAAAGGAAGGACAATGGTCTTCCTCCTGTTTTTGCTAGCAAGGCGTCTCTTTCAAGATGGAGCATGCGTCTTGATCCATACAGAATGACAGGCAACAGTGACCAGGGCAAGTTGGTTGGACCAGACCAGATGCTTCTTGCTATTGGTTTGACTATCAATCCTTCTGATAGTGCAGATGAGTATGCCACATTCATCTACAATCAGGGGGGGAGGATCTATTCTAGAGTAGACATCTCCAGGCGCTTGGCTGGAATGAAGCTCACCAGGAAGAGGGCATCGACTGAAGCCTACGAAGCCTTCACCTTTAGGAATAGAAGGAGATGTGAGTGGTTCTGGAATCTTCCTCCCCCCCTTGGTGTGGTTGGCATCCCAAGGAGGAAGTTCATTGATGTGGATGAGTTTGCTTTCAACCTGCAAAGGACCAACAACAAATACGGATGGGCTTTCATAAGAAGAAGAGCAAGGAAGATAGGACACTATGAGAGGACCGACAAGCTCACTGTTCTCTTTGCTGTGGAGCCAGGGGATCCTCGGCTTCCTCCTGAGACCAGGGGAAGTATCCAAAATCCAAGGAGATGGATTGAGGTGATCAGAGCTGGGGGGACGTCAGCATGGACCTTTGCTCAGTTTATCGAGGAGATTTGCAGTGATATTGAGCAGAATCCAGCGCCTGGCGATACTGATGCTGATAGAGTGTTCCTTTGGGACAATCTTKGAGTTCATCTAACCAACGTGGTAGCTCAAACAGTTGAGGTGAGACCAGCTGGGGGAGGGACTGTCTTTAGTGCTGTCCCGCGCCCTCCTTACCAACCCAAGTATGGTCCCATTGAGTACAAGATCTGTGATCTGATTGGGGCTGTAAGCAAGATGGCAAGGCCTCACTGGACCACTGCAGATCTGGAGCACGCCATTCAAACTGAGGCCTTTAGGTCACTCGCTCCCTTTGATTCAACCTTTGATCACTGTGGATACACTGTGGATGGGGTGTATCAGCCTAGGACATATTAGGACGCAGCAACAGCAACAACAGCAGCTCGATGGTCTCCAGTACGCGCAGCAGATTCAGAGAGTAGCTGTAATGGACTGGAGCAATCCCCTGGAGCGTGGCTTGCTGGCATGGCGACTCATCCTGGGCCTATGGAAATTGAATCCTACTGGAGAGGCTTGGATTCCAGCAGTCCCCTGGAACAGCTTGCTTGAATGCTCAATCGATTCGGACGATGGATCGACTAGATCGATTGAATAACAGTCAGTTGAATCGATTGATCATACATAAGCTTAACATTCTACAGCATCAGTACTATTTGTATACAGTTTATCTTTAGTAGGAATCATATCTACCAAGAGTAATTGCAATAGACTTGAGCAATACCCCAAGGACCAGCGAATCGAGCCTTTGAGTCAGCCTGGGCCTACAGTTTAGCGCGTGTGGAATCAACTAGTCGCTTTACAACTAATATGGTCTCTATACTATTACAATAGTAGTACTACCTCAACAAGGAGGTACTTGGCGTTCTATCAACAGCAACCACAGGGATTACAACAGCACGGGCAAGCTGCTCCGTTTGTACAAAAGAGACAGTGAGGCATCCTAATGGTGGAGAAACAGGAGGAAAAGAACCACCACTAGAGGGTCGATGATCTCAGCGAATCGATGCTTTCATTATTCAGCATCCATAGGAAGACTAAACGAGCCAGCAGCAATCAATCAATCACTGTCTCCATAGTCGAATCCGCCTGAGCTCTGGCTGCTGGGCAAGCCACCAGGACTAGCCTTCTTGCTTGCAACAGCTGAGGCCTTCTTTGCAGCAGCAACAACAGGCTTGCTCAATGCAGAACGCTTGACAACACGCTTCTTGCCAACACGCTTGAGACCCAGGCCCAAGCCCAAGCCCCGGCCTGCTGCTGCTGGGCGCTTTGAGCCAGTACTCGCTGCTACTGCAAGCAAATTCAAGCCACCAGTGTTTGAAGGAGCAGGACAAGCTTGCTTCCCCTGCTTTGCAAACAGCTGGCGCTTGGCAAACTTCACTAAGGAACCAGTCGCCTGCTCAACATTAGGGCACAGGTTCTCCATGTCCTGTGCTCTCTTCTTCAGTGCCATGGCCTCAGCACTAGTGTCCTCCGCAGTAAGCCGAAAAGACAGTTGATCCAGCACTTCCATTGTAGAAGGGGTGTTGTTACCAAAAGACTGCTTGAGAGATTCCTGCCTGATCTTCCTTGCAAACGCTGGAGTAGCTGGCGGAACAGAAGCCTTTCGACGCTTTGGCAAGGGAGGAAGCTTGAATTCAGACTTCACGACCACGGGCTTGATATCCGGCTGGGTCTTGCTTGTGCTGTACAAGCTAAATCCAGAGCTCTCACTGTCACTCTCAAGAATACTGATAGGATTCAAGCTGGAGGACCCTCTGGTGCTGTAGGATCTCTTGGATACTGCAGAAACCTGAGCTGGTGGAGGCATTGCTGCTGCTACTGGAGGTGGCATTGCAGCTGCTGTAACTGTAGGTCGAGGACGCGCAGTACTTCCACTACCACTACCAGCAGCAGCAGCGAGCTCAACCTCAAGGGGGGAGCGAGTATCATCAGTCCTATCAGGAACAGGAGACAGCTTATTCCTAAAATGCCTCTGGTCCTGATGGTTGAAGGTAGGAGGTCCTCCAGCAGGAAGAGGGGCCCGATGCGGAGGCTGGGGCTGCTGGCAAGGCTGTTGCTGGCGAGGCTGTTGCTGCGGAGGCTGGGCCTGCTGGTGCTGCTGCTGTTGCAATTCCCTTGGATTGGGAACACCAAATCCCCTTGCGCGTTCCACTCCTGAATCCCCTACAGTCCTCCCCTTCCTGAGAGCGTCGATGGACAGCCCATCCCTGGTCTCGGTCCCCATTGGACCCATTCCTTGCATGGCGTGCCTCATTGCCATGTTCCCCTGAACCTCAGGATTGGTGAGCAACCTGTGAGCTGCAAAAGCAAAAGAATTCTGAGCAGCAACTGGATCATCCACAGCAGTATTTGCTTGAGCAGCTGCATCAATCACACCATTCTGCAACGAGTTACCGACATACTTAGTGAAGAGCTGAGGCAAAGAGGACACGTTGGCTGTTGCCGGAGCTGCAACAGCCTCCTTCTGTTCCCTGACCTCAACAGCAGCTTTGTGCCTGTTCCCCCTGAGGAACATAGCGTCGCACTTGCTATTGCAGATAGGACACAAGCAAGCTGGCTTTCCATCTGCATCGCGCGTGAGGTATTTGCTAGTTCCTGTAGCCTTTTGGCATTCCGGACAGTTCCCTCCATCAGCTTGGTACTTGCAATGGAGCTTGTATCCCCAGCAACCAATCCACTGTCCTTCTGATGGTGGAAATCTTGGCTTCTTCCCCCCATTCCTCTGGTATTCCTCGACCTCTTCCATGTACTTTTCCCAGTTCTCTTTGTTCTTCTGGTTCACTTCATCGATTKGGGTGATAGCCATGCAAGCCATACATCCACACTGAGGGCAAGGAGCCTTCTCCAGCTTGGTTGGATCGAAGGGGATCTTGTCTTGCTTCCTGTTCCCATACTTTTGTTGCTTGATGGAAGATTTCTTGTTCAGCTTTTCAATGTCCTMATCCTCCTGTTTGTCAACAGCTTGCTTGACATCCTTAGCAGCGGACCGGAAGAGGGGAAGAGCTGTTGCATTGCTGCTCCTGGATCTGCTGGCACGTTGGGCGCTTGGAGTAGGAAACTCCATCCCCTTCCTCATCTCCATTGCAACATAGATTGAAGCAAGGATGGAAGACGCATAGTGAGATCTCCAGGCCTTCTCTCGCTTGTTCTTGCCTAGGCCGACAGGGACAATATCAGTATGGAGGACCCGCATCTCCTCTCTCAATCCCTTGGCTTCATCTCCTGGGAAGAGTGCTTCAACATCCCTTTCCTTGATGGTTTGGATGGCGCAAAGATGCTGCTTCTTCTTTGCAAGTTGAAGGAACTTCTTCCTCTCCAKGGCAACATAGGCTGCTTGATAGAGAGGATTAGTTTGAGTGAGTGGAAGGCTGGGGACAAGGGCCCCCAAGGGTTTCTTGTTGTTGTTGTTGTTGCTCATACTGTTGGTTGCCGACGTCGGAAGAAGCAGCCGTCGTAAAAAAAAAGAAGCTACACTGAACACGCAATAAAATCTGTTACACTTGCTTGTTTGCTACAGTTAAGGGCTTGTTCAATCGACAATTAAAGAGATCTATCCAGTGATACCACTTACATTAGAAAAGAGTGAATGGAAGTCCTTGAAATAGAGCAATTCCCATGGTCGGTTGCTTTGAACCGAGTAGTTTTTTTAGAATGAAAAGAACAGTTTACTGTACTGTAATTTAGCACGCTGTATCAGCACGCTGGAGGCAGGTAAAGGTCAAGACACTAGGACACAGTACATTTTTGAACGCGTGATAAAAACCCTTCTATTTTGACCAAAATCTCAAGCCAACTACCTTGATTCACGATTTTCTACGGGATTTTCTACACAGCTTTGTACTAGGATCCATCCAAAACAGCTAATCTTGCTTCTTGCTTCCCCCCGCTGAGCAGCTGTTGGCCAGCCGGTGTGACACGATGCGGGGCTAGTACTGATTGTACGTACGCCTACGTACAATAGTTGGCAACTTGGGCCGGAAGTTGACAACTTTGATTCAAAGTTGGTAACTTTGTTTTAACGCTTTAAGTCTTAACTTGAGCGCACTGCGTGAGAGCACTTGCGCACTGCGCGACCCCAGTTTCAATTGTTATGAAACTCGTAGTACTCGTACCGGTACGGTATACGTAAAATGCAACTAAAATTGCATTATCATAATTGCCTCAGCGCAACCAAAAAACAGTACCACATAGCCCTAGACCCGTATATACGGTCATACGTAAGAGTATATTACTGTTTTTTTGACCGTATTGATTTATTTGTGTGCAAAATAATTGAGATTTTATGTACTACTCTTACTCAGTAGCTTGTTTGTTGCATTCTCAACCGTTGAAAACACGCACGCAGTGCAATAATACAACACACGTGGTTGCGGACGACAAGGTACAAAAGAAAACTTCAGAAGCAAGCAGCAGCAGCAGCAGCATAAAGCAAACAGTTAACAACAGTAGTAAACAGCTACTAAGAGCAGCAACAGAATGACACCAGCGCCAGCACAGCAAGATGACGAAGCTCGTCTCGGACGCGGACAACCCGTAGGATTACGTGGAGGAGCAAGGAGAGCTGATCGTGCTGGCGGACGCCGCAGGAGACGAGAACAAGAAGCCCTCGTCCCTCCCCCTAACTTGTTCAGGGTTGCTTGTGAAGCTTTGGAAGAAGCTGCTCGTGAGCAACAAGAAGGTGAGGAGCTGGTGCAACAGCTAGCAGCAGGAGGACGCGGAGGACGTGGTGGACGCGGACGCGGCGGAGGACGTGGAGAACGCGGAGGACGTGGGGGACGTGGGGGACGTGGACATGGAGGACGCGAATCCTCTCCAGTGCAGGCTGGACGCGTTGAGGAAGAGCAGCAGCATAGTAATCCTGGTGAGGACACTGGTGCTGTAGTAGGGGGACGCAGACGCGGAGGACGTGGTGGCCATGGACGGGGACGTGGGGGACGTGGTGGACGCGGACGCGTTCCTCCTGCTGGTGGTGAGGGGGACGTCGCTGCTGCATTGGAAGAGCTCATTAGAGTATTGGATGCAGAAGAAGAGAAGGAAGAAGAAGGAGATCAAGAAGCTGGTGGTGCTGGTGCTGATGGTGAGGATAGTAATCCTTTTGGTGAAGGTATCAATGGTGACGACGTCGCGGATGGAGGGGAGAGTGTTAATAGCCAAGGAGCAACAACAACAACAAGACGGCCGCGTCCTGGGCAAGCTCCTAGGCCACCACCAGGTGTTACTATTCCAGACCAATGGCCAAGTTACMACAGGATATTCCTAAACTTCATGGATTTTGTACATGGGAAAAGAGATGGAACTTTTGATAATCCTCCCACTGAAGATACAAGATTTCCCCAGGAC